GTTAGTTTCCCTGCACTCCACCCCAGATGTAATGTTAGTCCTTCTATTTTGTGCAATAATCTTTTGCAAAAATTTTTGGACCCTTTGTACAGTAATGGTTTGGAGTCTGAGGGCACAGCAATAGTATACTCCACAGATGCCTAGTTTAGTCAACAAACAGAAAACAGTGGAGTTCCTTTCAAGGTAGTGATGAAGACTGAAACCAAGTGGACAGAGGATTAATTTTTAACTGCTGAATAGTTGAGATTTGATTAGTCATTTGGGTCAGAGTAAGTATTATGATTATCACGAGTATATATATAATAGTCAGTAAATATATGTGTGAAAGGTCCTCCTAGAGCAGCAATAAGTATATATCTTCCATGGGAGCCTGTCAGTGGCAAAAGAGGGCATTTTTTCACAGACCCAGCAGTCACTCTTAATTTGGAGTGCTGCTGACATGTGAGCCCAGGTGGTGAATAGGTTACCTTGTGTGCTATGGCCAGAAAGACAAAGAAGTTACATGCACAAACAATGGTAAATCATAAGCGTAAGGCAAAATACAGGCTGCTTTGTCATCTATACTAAGAATCATAGGTCAGAGTGTTTCTGTCTTGGTTTGTAATAGCACATCGAGTTCCCAACTGGATCCATCTGATCCATCTTCTGATTCCCTGGAGGGAGTGTAGCACTATGGGCCAGTTCGCTGTACACAGTGACCTTCAAGCCTTTTGTCTTTTCCCAGATCTCATTCCACATTTCAGCTTTCCAAAGTGGGCCCTGTTGACTTCTTAGTTGTTCTTTTTCCATTGTCTCATCCACAGAGTAAGGCCTTTGTAAAAAGCCCAACTATCAGTTACCAAAGTGATAGACCTTGGTTTATGTATCAGTACCATCCAGGCTGCTAGTGGCTCAGCCCACTGACTGCTTTGTTGGCTTTCTCTGTCCAGACATATAGTCTTTATATTTGGTTGTCTTGTTACTGTGATCCAACACTGTGGATTGTGCTTGGGATTGGAGACAAGAGCACACTGATGTTTACCATGCAGTTGTGAGGACTGATAATTGACCTTCTTAATATGCAACTCTAACGATGGGTGTGTCCATAGGCCCATTTCAGTGTTTTCAGGCATTTCACTAATATATGTGACTGGACCCAGGATGGCAGGCTGGTCAGCACTAAGTGGACTATTTGGTACAATATATCATTGGTGCAAATATACATGCTACTTATGTAGGATAGTGAACTGGGCCGCCCCCAGTTGGGGCTTGGCAAATTCCCGACTCATCTAGCAATGGGGTATTGTGTCTTTAGCACCACTGTCAGGGCTTTCCTGGCACTCTTTACATGCTGTAGACTGAAGCACGCTGCCAAGACTTGTTTTTCCATAGGGCTATACCTTTGTTTAGCTGATTTTCATAATTGGGAACAGAAACCTAGGGCCACCTTCCTCCCATCTTGCTTTTGGCCTGAGCTCTGCCCAAAGCCCTCGGGATAGAACAAACAATTAACTTACAAGGGTTGGTTCCATCCATCACCCCTAATTTTTGTTTGTTTTACTGCCACCTTTGCACTGATAAAGGTAACAGTGTGCTCTCGTCTCCAATCCCAAACTGTTCATTTCTTTAGTAATCTACACAAGGGATGTAAGAGCTGAGCTAGATGGGGAATTAAAGGCCTTCAATATCCAAGCACTTCCAAGAATGTTCGCAGTTGTTTTACTGTTTCTGGCACAGCAGCCGGAATAATTTTTGTCTTACTAGACCAGGCAACTCCCAAGAATTTGACAGAGGATCCCAAGCCTTGAACCTTATTGCAATTTATGGCCTATTCCCGTCTTTCTGGGTGCCCCAGTAGAAACTCTGCTGCCTTCTGTAAAATACTGAGGTCACTTACCAGTTAGAATAATGTCATTATTGTAATGACATAATGCCAGCCCCTCTCCACCTTTTCATAGATATATATCTTTTGCTACTAAACCATGGCAGATGGTGGGGCTATGCAGATAGCCTTGTGGTAACATCTGAAATGTCTCCAATGGTCTCCATTCCAGCTGAAGGTGAACTGATCTTGACTTTGCACATCTATAGGAATAATGAAGAAGGCATTAGCCAGGTCTAATACAAAATGATAGATTCTTAAGGATTTGCCTACTTCATTTATTTTTTTAAATCCTCACTTAAGGATATGGTTATTGATGAGAGAGAGAGAGACAGAGAGAGAAACATCGACCAGTTGCCTACTGTACATGCCGGGCTAGGGATAGAACCCAAAACCTAGGTATGTACCCTGACCAGGAATTGAACCCCTAACATTTCTCTGTATGAGATGATGCTCCCACCAAATGAGCCACACCAACCAGGGTTACTTACTTCATTTAGTAATCGGGTGATATTAGAACTGCAGCATGGATTGACAGAATTACTTTATTAAGCTCCTAGTAGTCCACTGTCATGATCCATGATCCATTTGGCTTACGGACTGGCCAGACAAGGCTGTTAAAAAGACTATGGGTGGGACAATTTATGCCCAATCTGTAAGCTCTTTCACTGTATCAGTGATCTCTGCATGCTCCCCAGGTAAGCAATCCTGTCTTACTGATACTATGGGCAAACATCGTGAGAGCCCTTCGGTAGCAGCTCCCTGTGCCAGGTGAGCTTCCCTTCCAGCCAGAGGGCATCTTCCAAAGGGCGATTCCCTGAGGCAAGCACTCTAGCCTCTTCCCAAGAAAACTTCCAGTGCACAGAAGGGGCCAGGCCACAGCAGCCACAGTTGCCTTTACACCTTTCTTTTCTTTATGTACCTTCAGCCTCTTCCATAACTCTGCTACTCCAGAAGGCATTTGGGGGGTATCCTCATACTTACACACCATTCCCCAAGCCTATAAGGCCTGTGCCAACTGGCCCAGAGCATGAGTGCTTGGCCATCCTGGGATTTCTCCCAGCTTAGCCCGTGTTTCCCCCCATTTGCTCCTGGCTTGATGAGTTCTTTGGAATCCTACTCACAGAGCCAGATGTTGGGGAGAAGCCCCAAAAGTCTAAATTCAGGATTAATTTAGAAGAACTAGCACACAGCCTTCATTAAATTTATAAGAGCTTTAACAAGAGCAACTTATATACATGGGCAAAGAGCCTGCTCCCAGTGGTGGCGGGCCAGGAAGAATCTGCACCCCTCCTAGGACAGAGTTCCTTTTTAAAGGAGATTAATAACAGGGGTTAATAGCAAAACCAAATGGTGAGTAGTTGTAGGCCTCTTGAGAGAACAATGTATCACTGAGTTAAAAGAAAAGTAAAAAGATAACATCAGGCAGTTTGTACACTTTATACCTTCATTAACCTCCTTCCTCGGTACGTGACATTTGTCTTTGGGCAGCATTTGGTTTTTGGCATAGTTTGCCAAATGAAGGTTACAGAGAGTTAAACAGTCCCAAAATGTTAAACAGTCACAGAGAGTTCAACATCTCCCAAATGCTTTTGCTGCTAAAGCCACACAGCTTCTCTAAAGTGAGTTCCTACAGTAAGCAATTGCTGGAGTGTCCTGTAAAAACCCTACAGAGTGTCCTGTAGGGAATATGAGAGATCCAGGATGTGATTTTGATGCTTTCCCAGTTCTCTTATGACATAGCACTTTTGTGTTGTTTACCCTGCTGTAAATCTGCATTAAACATTGTAACTTATTTTAGAGTCATAAAATCAGGATTTTAGGGTGCATTAGGATCTTTGAAACTACAATCAAATTTTTTAAAAATATATCTTTATTGATTTCAGAGAGAGGAAGGGAGAGGGAGAGAGAGAGAGAGAGACAGAAACATCAGTGATGAGAGAGTCATTGATCAGCTGCAGCCCACAACCTGGGCATGTGCCCTGACAGGGAATCGAACCCCAATCTCTTGGATCCTAGGTCAATGCTCAACTGCTGAGCCATGCCTGGTCGGGCTACAATCAATTTTAAGCATCTTCATTTCTTTTGGTGAGGGAGTTGATGTGTATAGAGTTCCATTTTTTTTTTTTTTTCCATGACACACAATTAGTGGTAGAGCCAAGACTAGAAATAAAGTTTCTGACCTTTAATTACTTTAGTAAATTAGACATATATCAATCATTTTAGAGGGTCAAATAATGAGGAATGTTGGCTCTAGGTTCTTAGCAGTGGTGTACTAAGGACAGGGTGATGGAGCTTCTGTCCATGGCTCAATGGTCCTCAAAAGAACTTAGAGCAATAACGTTTTCCAGGAAGAATACTGTATCACTGACATTGTTTAAAGTTGTGGGCATATGATTGTTTTTAAGTTATCTAGAGACAAGCACCCCAATGTAGATGACTCCCAGTGTCCTATAATTGGGGTGCCACAGGTGAGCACTAAGTTAGTCATGTCTATTTAAGTTCCAATACAATATGGCAGCCTGTACCTGCTGCTAATTACGAGAATGAGATTTAGGCCAGAAGGACTGTGAAGATGAGGCGGAAATGGGCTTTGAGCATTTACCTTCCTCTGTTCTATAATGATTTTCTTTCCCCAGGGATATTTGTGTTTAGTTTTTGGCTCAGGGCTTGTAAGAATATCCAAATTTGAGACTGAGAGAATAAACATTGTTTTTTTTTTTTAAAAGCTCATTACCTTACATGTCTTAACAGTATGCATCCTGGGAGTAGAACAGTTAAATATCTTTAAAAACAACAACAACTTGGCTCCTATTGATTTATTTAATGTTTGTTATTTGGGATGCAAAAACAGAACTGGTCAAGTCAAATGATTCAGTTTGGCAGGATGCTCATTACTCTGGCAAACAAACTGCCCCCAGCATAGGTCCACCCTGAAGTTTACAAAGGTTCAACTTCTGAACCAATGGAAATGAGAGCATAGTAAGAGTACACAGAGAAACTGATTGGCAGGTAAGAGTACACAGAGAAAGCTGATTGACAGGTCCAGAGTGAGCAGGATAAATAAAAGGCAGCAACAGAATATCGGGGAAGGTCAATGATATCATCTGTCTAGTGCCAAACTTCAGTGCTTCTCAGACAGTGTGTTTTCACCATGAGTGGCTGCCCATTTTTAAGAAATGACTTTGAGTAAGTATTTACCTCTATTCCAAATATAGGTAGGCTTTTAAAATGCTAAGTATGAACACTTTAGTTTCTGAATTTCAAAAGCATTGAAAACTGTCACCCTTATTCTCTTGTTTAATAGTCTTTTAAAAAAAAAATTAGCAATAAGAGAGTTTTAATCACTCATATTATTAGTTACTGTGCTTTCTCGAGATCTATTTTTTCTCATCGCTTATTTAATTTGCAGGTGTGACTTTAAAAAACTATCTTTAGAAGGCAATGATGAAGACAAAGCACAAACTGGTATAAATAAAGCCAGCAAAGGAGGACTTATCTATGGGAATTATCTGCATGTAAGTAGCTGAGTATCTTCCAGAGTTTAGCTTCCATTGTTGGGTATTTTGTTGTCTTGTTTTTTCTTCGTCCTAAGTAGTTTTCTGGACCTGACGATATCCCTTTTCATACAAATTTATGCTTTTTCAACTTTTGTTAGAACAATTCAAGAGACCTGTAGAAATTCAGCAGAGAACATTGAATCTGGGCAGAAGAGTATAAATGATCACATTAGCATAGATAGCTGGCAGGCACTGGACAATTTGTATAAATAAGGGTGTCACTAAATTCTAGCCTAAATAATCACAAATGATTCTAGAAAAATTTCTCATTTATATCCCTTTTATAAAGTAGAAATGTTAAAGGCACAGGTTTTCTTGAAATCATTAATAAATAAAAGAGGGGTGTGTGATACAAAGGAGGTATTGGAGACTATTCTGGAATACTTTTCCGCCTGTTTGTGTTCTATACTGTTTAAGAAGTGAAATGATTAGAGCATATATGGGTTTCTGAGAATGAGCTGATAAAGAATGCTAAAGCTGTGGTACATTTACGCAATGGAATACTATGCAGCTGTAAAAAAACATCTCTTACTCGTTGAGGGAGCATGGAGGGGCCTGGAGACTGTTGTACTGAGTGAAATAAGCCAGGCAGAGAAAGACAAGTATCACATGATCTCACTCATAAGTGGAATCTAAAGAACAAAATAAACCTATGAATAAAATAGGTCCAGAGACATAGAAGCATGGGACAGACTGGCACATCTCAGAGGGAAGATGGGGGTGGCTGGGTGGGTGGGGAGAGATTAAGCAAGACTATATATGCATAAATGCATAACCCATGGACACAGACAATAGTGTGGGGAAGTCCCGGGGCAAGGGGGGGAGTAGAAGGGGTCAATGGGGGGGAAAAAGGGGACATCTGTAATACTTTCAACAATAAAGATAAATTTAAAAATGTTGAGATCTTCTTAGAATAGGTTCTTTAGGAGAATAGAAGAATGGAAGATAAGCAGTCCTCTAAGCAACTTGTCAAGTTTTTATCACACTTATTTCAAGAGATAGAAGAACTATGACTTCTGAATGAGTGTAATAGCACTTGTTGTAATAGAATCCTACCAAATATAAAATTCTTTGGAAAAAATAAAAAACATAAATTCAACTCACTGTTTATGATGAGACTCATGTTTAAAAGAGAATAGAATGGATCCTGAGAATTTGAGAATTTGGGGATTTTTTTTTCAGTATTGTATTCTACTTCGTATTAAAGTTGATTAAAAAAAACACAAGCTTTGCAATTTCAAAATCAGTCACTTAATTTTTTTTTAGTTTTATTGAGATATAATTGATATGTAACATTGTGCAATGTAAGGTTACAACATGTTGATTTGATGCCTTTATATAGTTCAATATGATTTCCAGTGTAGCATTGAGCTAACATGGCTTATCACATCATATCATTGCCATTTTTGTGTGTGCGTGGTGAGAACATTTAAGATCTACTCTTTTAGCACGTTTCAAATATATAACTATAATCACTGTGTTATACATTAGATCCCCACAACTTATTTATCTTATTCCTGGAGGTTTGTACAAAATCAGTTTTTCTATTTTTTTGTTTAAAGTTGGAAAAAGTTTTGAATGCCCAGGAGCTTCAAAGTGAAAAAAATGGAAATAAAATCCATGATGAACACCTTTTTATCATAACTCATCAAGGTAAGTTGCACAAAAGTTTGGACAATAACTATTCCTCAGGCATTTCCCATCAATAATGAGGAAAGTTACAATTCTTTTAACTATAAGATGGTGAAAGATCAAAGAATCAGCTTTGTGAGAAATGCTCAAGAATATTTTACTGTCAGATCAATTCTCATAGGACATAAATCTTCTTTATGTTACTTTACTGCTAGTTGAACTTTGAGCTTTGTTCTAAGTCCAAAGAGACCTTTATCTTGGAATTGACAAAGAATTTTCAAGCTAAGATGTTACGATTTTTCAACTTGAAAGTTTTAAAAAAAACTGCTTTCAAGAAATAGATCACTCAAATTTATTGTGACTTTACATGCTCCCATATAAGTCTGGTACTTAATAGAAATGTAAATTTTGGCAAAAATGCGTGTTTATTGTTTTCACACTTAAAACCTCTGGGCAGTTTTAAGTTTTTTAATTTTTTTTTTGTGTTTCAGTGACACTTTTCTTTGATTTAATATTTTTTTTATCTTTTTCTGCTTTTGAAATGACCTCTCAATTACAAAACATTAAACTGCATTCAAAAATGCAGTGCTGCCTGGCTGGTGTGGCTCAGTGGTTGAGGGTTGATCCATGAACAAAGAGGTCCCTGGTTCAATTCCCGGTCAGGGCACATGCCCAGGTTGTGGGCTGGATCCCCAGTAAGGGGCATGCAGGAGGCAGCTAATCGATGTTTCTCTCTCATCATTGATGTTTCTATCTCTCTCTCCCTCTCCCTTCTCTTTCTAAAATCAATAAAAACAAATATATTTTTTAAATGCCAGCATTGGTATAGTATGGAGTAGCCCACAGTAAGGACAGATAGCAGCAACAGGTGGCAAGAGGTGGGAAGTGATTGAAGCAGTAGCTACAAACCTTCCCAGGAAACTGAAACTATCCAACAGGTTGTGACCTAATGTCAGCACAGGTTAGACTGGTCACTACCCTGGTGGGTGGCGTCAGTATATTTGGGTTCAGATTTTATAATTTCTTCTAGTTAAGAGTTCTTGATTTGAACTGCTCACAGGGTGGCCTGATGGCACTGGATCAGCCTGTTAGCTTTTCAAAATGCTGTTGTAGACCTGATAGATGTATCAAGAGACTTCAGCGGCTCTACACCTCAGCAACTGCGTCTGGTTGGGGTTTCCTGGCCAAGATCCAAATGTCCTTAGTGAGCATCAGAGATGGGTACAAAATGTCCTGCTGTTTCCCAGTTTTCTTGGCAATAGTTGTTTTACAACTTGCTGGAAACAGTGTCAACATTTAAATGACGTTCCTTCACCTGAAACTGAAGTTCATTTTCATTGGGAATATTCTTCCATGTTGCAAGGAAGACATGGCTCTTCATTTTGCCATCTGCAGACAGCACATTGAGTGGGGTGAGGCAGCGGGAGCAGGAGACATCAATATTGTTTTCACAGCAACCTGCAGGTCCTTCAGGGTTGTGTCTTCATGACGGGGCCCAAGGTATTGAGAAATGGGGAGACGTCAATGCTCTGATTTGGCATCAGTGGTATATGGATGGCCAGACGAGTGCTGGGGTTTACACCAAAGCTATTCTTGTTCAATTGGATTGCAAAATCTCATGTGCTGCAGAGCTTTGTTGGTGAAGCTCATTTCCAAAAACATGTGCCTTTGGCGATGGACAAATGCTTCAGAAACCAAGCCTTTACTGGAGGCAATCACACAGGCTTAGGGGCCACATATCCACCAGGTGCCCTGCCAGTCCCTGTAGAGAGTTCAAATACAGTAACACCTCGCCCCAATTAGTCCCTTATATTGAGGTTTAACTGTATTTGAACTATTTGTTTTGTTGAAAATAACGAATTAATAACCAAAAAAAAATAACCCATTAATTTAATTACAAACAAATCTTGTTTAAAAGCACTTAAAAATTAACAGGATGTTAATTTTCACACATGACATGTGGATGAGAAATTTTGTCTGTTAAATCTGAAGTTCATTAAATCGAGATCTACAAAATCGAGGGTTTACTGTAGATCATTCAGACCACTGCTGACCACAGCAGGAGTAGGTGAAGGAGCAAAGGTTACAGGGACTGTTGGTGGAATAAAGGATTGCCCCATCAGACTCTCCAGTCCTTCCCTCAAGAAATCCACAGCTCCCACCTGCACATTGACTGGGGGACAAAGGTCAAGGTGTATAAGGTCACTCAGAAGGTAATCTTGAGAGGGAATAACTGAAGGTTGTTCCAGTGATTGAGGTTGTTGGTGGCAGTGGTGATACCAACATGGGCAAGTGGTTTTTAAAGTAGGAGTTCACACCCGGCCAGGCGTGGTTCAGTGGTTGAGCATTGACCTAAGATCCAGGAGATAAGGGTTCAATTCCCGGTCAGGGCACATCCCATGGTTGCAGGCTAGATCCCCAGTCAAGGGCGTGCAGGAGGCAGCTGATCAATGACTCTCTTATCATTGTTGTTTCTCTCTCTCTCTTTCTCCCTCTTCCTTCCTCTCACTGAAATCAATAAAGATATATTTTAAGTAAATAAATATAAATAAATAAATAAATAAATAAATAAATAAATAAATAAATAAAATAAGAGTTCATGACTTTGGGAGTTTAGAAAGTCCCTGGACTATGAAATTATGTGCAAAATATTGTGAATATGTGTCTTAAAGAAGTCTGTGACCCCAGAATATTAAGACTTACTCTAAGATTGTTGGTGCCCTAGTCCTGTCCTCTGGTTGTCCAGGGCCCAATGACCCAAGCTAGTCATTGACCCATTTCTAGACATGTTTTCTTTCTTTACCTGTTCTTTGTGTTTTTTGTTTTTCCTCAAATGGTTGTTTACTTCACTGACTGGTTAAAATGTTTAACTTCTTTGAGTAAACAAATTAAAAACAAAAAATAATTGGCTTAATTTTTATTGGTGGCTTATACCAAGACAAAAGCAATAGGGGAAGAATCATGGAAGGGTAGCAGAAAATTTGGAATCAAAAAATTGTTTAGAATCCCATCTCTACCTTTATAAATTGTGAGAGCTTGGTCAGGTTCCTTAACGAGTAACTCTCCATTTCTCCATGTGTAAAATGGAAAGAATTATTTATTTTCTTATTCATAGAGTTCTTGTGAAGATGAAATGGGGTAATGTGCATTAAGCACTTAGACCAAGGTATAGCACATAACAAGCATGTAATAAATGGTAGCTATCATTATTTGATAGGGAGACTTTCCTTCCATCCTTCAGTTACAAAATATAATCAGTGAGTCATGGGACTAGCCACACAAAGTTAAACCTAAAAAATTGCTACATAAACTGATCAAGAAAATATCTGATTTGCTCTTTGTCCAAATATGAAAATTAAATCCCTAAAGTATCCTTAAATGTATTTTAAAATATAATTTGATTCCCCTAACTAGTACAGAAACATAGCCTGTATCCATATGATAACACCAAATAGAATGCCTTAGAGATCTTTAAGATTATTGATTTTCTATGCTCATCTAATGACTACATTGGCTATTTAATTCGTTTATTCATAAAATAATCACCTGGTGTTTATCTTTTGCCAACACTGTCTAGGTACTAAGGGAAATAGATGAATACGACAAAGGGTTTTTTTTGTTTTAGTTTTTTAATTTATCTTTATTGTTGAAAGTATTACAGATATCCCCTTTATTTTTCCCCATTGACCCCCTCCCATCTGCATTCCTCCCCCCCCCAAGCCTTCACCACACTATTGTCTGTGTCCATGGATTATGCATATATGCATAAAAGTTAAGGCAAAGTTTTAGATTTAGACCATTCATAAGCTTTTCCTCCCCACAATTTTCTAAGCCCCAAGAAATGAAAACTTTGTCATATTCATTAGGTTAGTAAATGATGTTTCTGTCTATAGATGAAATCCAGTTCACTGCTGCTTCTCCACATACCTCCATCTTCCAATGGGAAGGTAGAATTAGATCATATGTTTTATCCTGAAAGACTTAAACAACATATTTGTTGAGAGAAATCAGTTTAATAATAACAACTATAAAGCATATAGATAATACACATGGCATATTAAAATATTCAATCAAAGGAGGCTATTATAAATTTATCACTAATATTTGATTATAGCATAAAAATAGGACTCTCTTGGTATTTATTGATTTTTACATTCCATTTTTATTTCTTTCAATGTCTTTCACATAATTATGGTCAAAGAGGCTCCCCAAACTTTCCAACTGACAATGGTTTTTTTCATTGCAGCTTATGAACTTTGGTTTAAGCAGATCCTCTGGGAATTAGATTCCGTTTGTGAGATCTTCCAGAATGGCCACGTGAGTTATTATGTCACAATGTTGGTTTCATACTCTTTTTGGAGAATGTAGAAACTATTATTAATGAGAAAAATTTCACACCACATGGTGAAGTTATTACTTAACAAAAACATTTTTTTCACTGGACAATGCCACACATACATTTCATTCAAGTTCCTTTCAAATTTCAGTTTCAAGCCCCTTGTTTAGAACCCATTTATTATTTTTTTTTACCCTTAAGAATAGTTGTTTTAGATGATGGCAGATTGCCAGAGTAGCTAATATTCAGCCTTTAATTTATAAGTACCAGAATTGTATTTCTAATGAATATTCCCTGTGGGAAGATAGGAACAATATGAGGAAAGCATACAGGAAGAGAAGGAAGAGGCAGAAAAAGAGAAAAGACTCGAGAAGGAAGGGGGGCCAAAAAGGACAGAGAAGACCAGGGTGGGAGAAGAGCGGAACCGCGGATGGTGGCAGAGGCTGAACTGCACTTTCAGGCCCCTCACCCTGCTTCCTGCTCCCAATGCCTTCCCGTAGGTGCTCTCTGCCTTGGAGGAGGCCCTGCTCCAGGAGGGGCTGGGGAAAAGAGAACAGAATACACAGACAATACTTTTCTTAAATATGTGAATGCAATTCCCTTTTATGTCAATGGCAACATCGTCCCTCAGTAGAGAGCAGATTTATTCAGGTGTTGCTCACCCAGAAGTTTCCATGTTACCTTAACTTTTATTCCTTGAAGCAAACTTGGCATTCTCTCCATTTTGCTTTAAAATGAGTGGGTGTTGTTTTTCAGAATTTACTCCTAACTTGTTTCCATGTAATTTCCTATTTTTAAAGAAAGAGAAATGATTCTGATTTTGCAGACATTCTTTGCACACAATTCAGTTACTATTAATTCAACATACACAAGCTTATGGCAAATTTTAGTTCCAATGTTCCTTTCTGAAATAAAGATGAAATTAATAGGAATGTACTATTGTTTGTAGTCTATTTTGTATCTCCTAAAAACCAGAATTGATTACTCAGTGTCTCATTTCTTAACCATCAGGTTAAGGATGAAAGGAACATGCTTACAATTGTGACGCGGATGCACCGAGTGGTGGTGATCCTTAAGCTATTGGTAGAGCAGTTTTCTATTCTGGAAACGATGACAGCCTTGGACTTCAATGACTTCAGGTGTGTACCATGGCTTTGTGATTACCAAGTGGGGTTTACCACATCACTCTGGTGGGGTAAAAGGAGGACACGTGTATTATGTGATATGAGGAGTCTGTCACTTTGTCACTATCAACTCTTGGGAGTCTTGATGAAACATTTGAGAAGTTATTAAAAATATTTCATCATTCTCCTTTACATACGAACATAATATGATTAATTAATTTCAGTTCAGTTCATCCTTGTGCCCTATTTTTATCCAAAAAGAATATTAGGCCACTTATCAAAATGGCTAAAATGGCTGATATAATGCATATAACTAAATTTTTTAAATATCAAAAGCTAAAAATAAAAGAGAAACAAGAGTGGTAGAGAAGGGTGTCAGCAAAAACATCAAAATAAGTTATGGATTGAATTATAAATCTTACTTCTACATTTCCAGGCAGCCAAAGTCATATATATCTCTATCTCTATCTCTATCTCTATCTCTATCTCTATCTCTATCTCTACCTCTACCTCTATCTCTACCTCTCTCTGTCTCTATCTCTATCTCTATCTCTATCTCTATCTCTATCTCTATCTCTATCATCTCTATCTCTCTCATCTCTATCTCTATCTCTATCTCTATCTCTATCATCTCTATCTCTATTAT